GGGGTGGGTTCTAGATGTGGTTCTAGGCGTGGGTCCAAGTGTGAGTTCTAAGGGTGGGTTCTAGATGTGGTTCTAGGTGTGGGTCCAGGTGTGGTTTCTAGGGGGGTGGGTGCACTGACATCGGGCAAAGGCATTTGCCAACGCATTTGCTGAGCAATCAACCAGCTGTCCATTTGGGCAAACTTTCAATATCCCTGAGTTTCCATTTCTGCACGTGGGTGTCCATCATCAGGCAACTCTGCATTTCCTTGTGATTATGGCCTAGAACAGATTGTCTGGACAAAAAGGCTGCCGTTGGAACGGATGTGGGCTTCTTTCTGTCTGGGATTCTCTTAGACGGAGAAGGGATGCAGGGTCCACTGAGGAAAAAGCCGACGATTGAGGAGGAAACCCCTGTTGACTCGGCCCCGAGCACATTACAGGCATTTTGTTCTTCCGTGGGCTCACCAGCCCTTGAACCAGGGACTGTGGTTCTCACGTGATCGACAAGCAGGGAATCGGACGCCGAGAGCACCCGTCCACCTCAGACCCAGTGGACGGCCTGGGTCACCTCTTTCCGACTTCCAAACGATAGGAAATGAACAGAAACAGGTTCTAACACCGCATCCTGCAAATGAGGCCTTTTTAATCCTCGCCGATTGAAAATTTGGATTTCTGTGGCAACGGTGTTTGTTTCTTGTCTATCAAGCAGCCGCTAATTCAACCCGGAGGCCCCAGATAAGAGGCACGTCTGGTGTGTACGTCTCGTTTTATGTCCCGCCTCCTGAAATGACGCGGGTGTCTCCAGGCCTGGATCATTCACCCAACTAATGGCACTCCCCCCGGGGGTGGGAGAGGGGGGTGCTGCTCAGACCTGGGAGCTCACAGCACACGGCTGGGGTGGCTCAGGCCTTCCAAAGTCCCTGCCACAGGCAAACACCGGGGGCTTGTTTAAAATAGCCACACCCCAGGGCCTTCCAATTCCATAGAAGTAGGGGTGAGGCCCAGGCTGCTGTGTTTAACAAGCTCCCCGGGGCGATTGGAATGTACAAGCTGGAAGAAACGGCCAAAGGAGGCCATCTGCTGCCTTGCTCTGGCTTTCGGTTTGGGGATATTTCCCTGTGGCAGGAGCTTCCGGAAGAGGGTTCGCTCCCGGGTCGCTGACAGCCTGCTTATGTCAACGTCAGGGGTTTCTTTATCAAAGGGTATGTTATAAGCTTAATTGCGTCTCCCCCCTGCCCCCCAGCTTCCCCACATGTTTGTACGTTGAAGCCCCTACCTGTAGTTACTGAGACGGTGACGTGATTTGGAAATAGGGCTGTTGCAGGTGTAATAAGTTCAAGTGAGTTCATCAGGGCACCCCCCTAATGCAACGGGACTGGTGCCCTTATAAACAGGGGGCCCTGGATACAGGGACGCGCACACACATAGGGCGAGGCCCGTGTGAGGACACAGGAGGAGATGGGGGGTGGTCTGTGGGGGGAGGCACGTCCAAGCTGAAAATCGCCAGGCGTTGTCTGCAAACCAGCAGAAGCTGGGGACAGGCTTGGGATAGATTGTGTCCTAAAACCTCCAGCAGGAACGAGACGTGCAAGCTACATCTTGATTTGGGATTTCTACCCGGAGGCGGTCAATTTCTGTGTTGAAACCACCCAGTCTGTGGGGGTTTTATCCCCAACAGAGAAAAAGAGATTATTTGTGTTTTGGTTGGGGTTTCGAACTGGGGGAACAGCATTCTCCACACAAGGCCACTTGGGAGACTCCAAGGTGCGGAAGATACAGAGGGCAGCTGGCGTGTGATGCTATGGGCGCAACGTTGTTGGGAGGCAGACACAAGTACACGGGAAGGAGAAAAGAAGGAAGAGGTTAAGTCACATATGGGTCGTCTCCCAGCTCTGGAGACCAGACGTCTTAGATCCAGGGGGACAGGGCTGCTGAGATCCAGGAGGGCAGGGCCGCTGAGAACCAGGAGAGGCAGGACCACTGAGATCCAGGCAGGGCCCCTGAGATCCAGGCAGGGCAGGGCCGCTGAGATCAGGCAGGGCAGGGTTGCTGAGATCCAGGCAGGGCAGGGCCGCTGACATCCAGGCAGGGCAGGGCCGCTGAGATCCAGGCAGGGCAGGGCCGCTGAGATCCAGGCAGGGCAGGGCCGCTGAGATCCAGGCAGGGAAGGGCCACTGAGATCCAGGCAGGGCAGGGCCGCTGAGATCCAGGCAG